TATGTTGGACTCATCCTACCCTATCTAGTCTGGAACAATATCTGACGTATTAGGCCTGCAGAAATGTTTGTTGGATGACTGATTTTTATTTTTGTTTATTTTTTTATGTTTATTTTTATCTATTTCAAGAGAGAGATAAGGAACAATCAGGGGAGGGGCAGCGAGAGAGGGAGACAGAACCCCAAGCAGGCTCTGTGCTGTCAACATAGAACCCAGTGCTGGGCTCAAACTCACAAGCCATGAGATCATGACCTGAGCCAAAACCAAGAGTCAGTTGCTTAAGTGACGGAGCCACCCAGGTGACCCTGGATGACTGATTTTTTTATTTAAAAAAAATTTTTTTTTCAACGTTTATTTATTTTTGGGACAGAGAGAGACAGAGCATGAACAGGGGAGGGGCAGAGAGAGAGAGAGGGAGACACAGAATTGGAAACAGCTCCAGGCTCTGAGCCATCAGCCCAGAGCCTGACGCGGGGCTCGAACTCACAGACCACGAGATCGTGACCTCGCTGAAGTCAGACGCTTAACCGACTGCGCCACCCAGGCGCCCCTGATTTTTTTATTTTAAAAGTCAGGGATGCCTGACTGACTCAGTCAGTGGAGCATCTGACTCTTGATCTCAGGGTCATCAGGTTGAGCCCCACGTTGGGTAGTTGGGTGTGGAGATTACTTTAAAAAATAAAATCTTTAAAATAAATAAAATAAATACATTTTAAAAGTAAAAAAAAACCAGTTTATACTTCCATTTAATAGAAAAACTAGTATTGCCTGTTCTATTGTACAAAAAGTGCTTACCAAATGCCTTTCAGAACATTGGTTAAAATAGATGGCTAAGTTTCAGATGAAATTTTTCCATCTTTGAGAATAGTACAGAAACCTGGGCACTTAATCACACTGAAGAAAACCTTGTAAAAAAAATAAAAAGAAAAAAAAGAAAACCTTGTACAATCCTTGAGCAGTCTGTTTTGCTTTTTAATTGGGTGGTGCTCAGTTTATCCTAACACCCAGACCCACTTGATGGCTAGTGCAATCATTTTAAGCCTCTTCCAAGAATATAAATCAAATTTCAGGCCTTGTGAAAATTGTTGAGATAGTAGGGAAGTTTGTATTTCTCTGTTCTTTGCCAAAAGTTCCCGCTAGCAAAATTACCTACAATCTAAATATCATTGAGAACGAAGCCATTTGATGATGTAGCCCCTCCATTCAATTCTCTCTCCACCCATAGTGTTCCTCCTGCCTTTAGTGAGGTGCTGCTGTGTTTCTTTTCCCTGAGGCTAAGTTTTATTTGCAGCTGCATATTTTTGTGTCATAGCCTACACTGTGAAGACATGTATTACTTTGTGCTATGCTCAATGAAAATAGTACTTTTTAAAAATTAATAGAGATTTATGGTTCCATAATCCTGGTAAATACATCAAAGATACCTGTTTACTCTTATTCTGATATTGATAATATAAAAGATGGTGTGATAAGGCCAGCTTCATTAATTCATTTATAAGTACTGTAATATAATAGTTCATTTGTCCACACATAGCCTCCAATTATCTCCTCAATTCCTGGTAATAGCCACAACCCCATCTTTCATTTTTATTACCTACCAGTTAATTGCACTAATAGGTTTAGCTTTTTGTTTCTACATGATTTTCATTAGGAAAAGTGGCAAGTGTTAACTCTTGCTGCTTTTTAGTTAGTAAGCATTTCAGGCTTTTTAATCAGAGATGAGCAAAGAAAATAAATTTTTAGAATTTCATGAAAATGTGCTTGCTAGCCTCAAAATTCCAGATGACTACTTCTAACTTTTACTTTTTTAGAAAAGAAGAGGCTTATTTGGGACCAATAAATTCTGCCAGGTAAGGAATATTGGAAGCTAGAGCTATGTGGAATTTTTTTCCTTAAAAAAAAAAAACCAAAACCTTCTTTAGCATAGTGTACAAAGAATCACAATTTTCTCAATCCATATACAGCTTTCTTGTGCAATATAAATGAACATGAGCTAACTTAATATGAATATTTAACAAACTATTTGTTCATTTTAAAGTAATATAAATATTTTAATAGAGATGTTTGAAAACACTTGTTTATTTTGAATAATCAAATGTCTATGAGAAAGCCAATTGATGTTTGAAAGAAAATTCATACTCTCATTTAATTGTAATATCTCCAATAATTTTCCTGAGTATTTTACATATGAGATCATTATGATACATATATATACTTTTGACTATACTAAACTGACCGCTTGCATCTATCACATTTTAGGATTTATGAGAATGTTTTATTCACCCTGATGTTTTATTCATCCTGAAAACTGGGAATTGAATAAAAGAATTACCACTAATTTAGTTATCCATATCTCATTGTAATTACAGAGAACTGACATGCATTCGTGGAAGAAAAAAAAATATGTTAGTATAAATTAACATCATAGTTATTATTTTCATCTAACTTGTAGAGTGTTACAGAAATGCTAAGAAAAGAATTCAGGATTTTATCACTTAATACTTTTAAGAAAGAGGGAAAGATCGGAAAACCTTCTCTCTGTTATTCCATGTCTGAATCCCACGGAAATGACTCTGGTACTTGTAGCTCTTGTGTCTGGTGGCAGATACTCAAAATCAGCAAGATAGTATCTGTTTCAAGGTATCAGCTGAGTTGGCAAGTGAAGAATCTTTTTTAGACAATTTAAAGTTTTTTTTCAACTGAATTGTGTTCCCCAAAATGACATTTGAATAAGAAATATAGAGGGGTGCCTGGGTGGCTCAGTCAGTTAAGTGGTCAACCCTTGATTTCGGTTCAGGTCATGATCTCACAGTTCGAGAGATGGAGCCCCACGTTGAGCTCGGCACGGGACCTGCTTGGGATTCTCTCTCCCTCTCTCCCTGCCCCTCCCCTGCTCACACACTCTCTCTCATAATGAATAAAAATATAAAAAACAAACAAACATAGAATTCTGTGATAAACAGCAGAGGAAGACAAAAGAGATTTAGACGGGGGAGGAGGGAAGGGGAGAAAGAGGGAGGAAGGAGAAAGGGGACAAGGGGAGAAGGGTGGAGGGGGAAAAGGGAGTGAAGGGAAGGGGGGAAAGGGTGGGGAGTGAATCTTTTCCCAAAATCTGTGTAAAAAAATATAGAGAATCAAATGGAAAATAGAGAAAATCTGTTCCAAGTGAGAAACATAGGGGATAAAATTTTTACAGGGTTAGTGGTAAGTTGTGCAAAGGATAAAAGGCAGCAAGAGTTAAGGACAGGTGGCAAGTAATGGGATAAAAGGGCTGTGTGTTCATTTAGTTGATTTTATGAAGATGAGTAGGATTATGTGTATAAAGTAGAGAAGTCAATTCTGGTAAGCATTTCTTGAAGGAACCTCCTTAGTTTATTCTTCAGAGAACAGATGGCTGGGAACCTGCCTGCCTTTGTATCTGGGGTGCTCATCCACAATTCACCTTTTAGGATAGATTGCTCCCAGCCTTGGGAACACTAGGGGATATTTTCAGGCTGATGTGTTGCCGATGTGAGATTTAAGTAGAATAAAGTTGTACTAGGAGCTATTTGAAAAGTTATATTGGCAGCTAACAATTTCAAAATTTTAAAAGGAATGTTTATATTCAAGGGTCATGTTGGAGCTATCAGCAGGTAGCTTGGTTTACTAAAAACTTGGGACTAGGTTATTTTAGATGTGTCTTTTGTCTTTGTTTCTATATGGTGGTATGGGAGCCACAGGAATATATGCATTTATTTTAGATAATGAAAGTTTTCATTTTTAATGTTAATTTTCTTTTTTTAATGTAAGAAAGAATACATTAAAGCTATGATTTCATGAATATTATGGCTATGTTGTCAAAAAGTCAATTTTATTTTGATTTAAAGAAAAAATAAGTAAATAATAATAGCAAAATATATGAATATGGCAAGAATAATGAAAGCAGCATACAGAAAACTGGTGTTTGGGAAAAATTCATATAGTTTTATCCCATGTAGTTCACACAGAGCCAGTATTTTTCAGACTCTAAGAAGAGATAACATCAATAAATTGCTCTTATTTTTAAACTTTGCAAAACAATGTACTATTTTTCATCCTGCCATTATAGTTAGGCTATTTTATTTTTAAGCCTGTTCAAACTGATTTGCCATCTCTAGTAACAATCAGAAAATATAGTTTCAGGGCACCTGGGTAGCTCAGTCGGTTGAACATCTGACTTCAGCTCAGGTCATGATCTCATGGTTCATGAGTTCGAGCCCTGCATTGGGCTCTGTGCTGTCAGTGCAGAACCCACTTTGGATTCTCTGCCCCCCCTCTGCCCCTCCCCCACTCATGCTCTCTCTCTTTCTCAAAAATGAATAAACATTTATTTTTTTAAAAGTATAGTTTCATGTTTTACAAGGGGATGAATGAGGCTTAAGTGTATGCATTTGTGAATAACCTAAAAAATGAACTACAGTTCTATTTTCTGAACTTTTGAGATTTTCTTTACCTGTGGAAGGTTTTTTTTCTCATTAAGTATACTTAATACATCAGTTATGACCTTGAACGAAAGAAATCTCCAGATTTTCCAGTAATGATATTTTACATTTAGTAGTTAATTGTAATACTCTTAACAATTTTTCTTTTTTATGTTTTAAATTATCACACATAAAATTGACTTTTTAGGGGTGCATGTAGTTCTATAAATTTTAACACATGTAAACTCGTGTAACCACGACTACAGTCAGGATATAGAATAGTTCTGTCACTCCAGAACATTCCCCTCTTCAAATTTTTGTTCTGTATAGTGGGAATACATTGTCCTGTCATGCCCCTAAAACTCTTAGCAAAAATAGGCTACTTTACTATTCAGTAATTCTGTAATCCACCCTCTTTTCTAATGTACTTAAGTTCTTCTAATTGCTAATTTTGTACTTTGTTGATTTATATTCCTGATCAGGGATGGTATTCATTTCTCCTCTCTACCAAATATCATCAACTAATCCAATCCTAAACTCAAACCTCAGGAGATTTCCTACCTGATGGTGTCAGTGGATCTGTCCTTATTCGCATTACATCGGTTTATAAGTAATGCTTTGTTCATCATCCGCGTTGTTTTTTGAACTGCCAGTTGTCTGATGTTAATGCTGGAGATTATCTGGAGTACACAAGAGAATCACCACTCTGTCTCTCTTTTTATAGGCTCTACAAATAGTGTTCTTACCTTTTCCTGGTATTTTAATGGCTTTATGCCATACTTTGTCTATTGTTGAGTACTTTCATCACCATGAGTTTCTTTGAATATGTATGGAACATGCAAACCAAAGGAAGGAAAGTCACAGGTTATAAGTCAAAACTTTACTTGATCAGTAATTAAACAAAGGTTGCATGTTAACCAATCTGCTTTGGGTATTTGAGTGTACAATTGTGACATGCATTTCAAGTAGGATGATGTCAATCTATAGCACATAAAACATATTATTTTAACATAAAGATCAGAATTTTCTATGTTGTAATATGAGCCTGTCATTTACAAAATTTTGCCATAAATCAAAAATTTAGAAATTTAAATATATGCATAGTAATCATCGTTGAGGTAATTTCAGACCATCTTATGTATCATCACCTCATATAGGGAAAACATTAACAAGTAAATTTGGACCCTGACCTTTTGATCTTAAATTTTCTTATTTTATGATTCTTTTAAGATTTTTCAAGGTTCCTTATATAGGTATAAGATTTCTTGAGATGTTGTAATTCTCCTGTGACTTGGTTGGGGGCGGGGGAGAGAGGGTTATTATTTCAAACCAGTTTTTTGTTCTTGTTTTTAATTACTGGAAACAGGTACATTACTATTGAGTGAGATTCTTTATTATCCCTGTTTGGGAACTACAAGTTAAAACCCTAAGAAATAATATAAATACTTCTACTTGCTCACACTATTGTCTGTCCTTTGAAGTTGTAAATTGACTATTTTATCATTTGCTCTTCAGATGGATCCTGTGCAAAAAGCAGTCATTAACCATACTTTTGGAGTGTCCATTCCCCCAAAGAAGAAACAAGTTATTTCTTGTAATGTCTGTCAGCTTCGCTTTAACTCAGATGTGAGTATCACCTTTTCATTGCTGTCAGTAGTCTGCCAAGCTGAAAGTCTGATTGTTCTGGATATGTATATCTCTTCATATTTACATGCCCTCCAGCAGCCACTCCCACTGGTGGCCCACTTTCTTTAGTGTGCCACATTTTCTGATTCAGATTCAACATAGAAACCTGAGCAACAGAGTGGTTAATATCAAAAATCAAGAATTTCTCTAATCTCACTCAAATTATGTTTACTTTGCAAAAATACTTAAATAGCAGAAAATATTTTTTAAGGTTTAAAATACAATGAATGCTGAAGAAAACCATTGTTATTTCTCTTTATAACAAGTGTCACATTTTATGTGTATGCCAAATCATATTAAATACCTGAGAGAAGAATTTATTATACAATTTATATTTTCCCACAACATGGAAGTGTAGGGAAATCTTTGTAAATTATTTTATCTGGCCAGCATAACCATCCTGCTAAAAAAAGAAAAAGAAAAAAAAAGAAAAAGAAAAGGATATAAATCATTTATTAAAATAGATTTTAAAATGTAAAACTAAGATAACATGAAATTAAAATAAATAATATTAGAATGTCTATAATACCCAATTAGCAAGTAAAGCCAATGACCAAGACAAATCTGAATCTACAGCTGTATATTATATGTGTTATTTCCTGAGTTACTCCATCCCAGAAGCCATTTTTCAAAGAACATGTTACAGGATTCATGTTTCTTGCAAATACTAAAATAATAAATACTCTTATTTACATATACCATTAAATGATATTTTGATAATTCTATATAGGAAACATAATAAAACTTATAGTCATTGGAAAAGAGTGCTTTTGTCATGCTTAATATGATTTGTAAAGGTATATTTAATGTGATTTCCATTAGAGGTCAAATAAATTTTTATGGCACTTGATAAAATCCTCCTCAACTGCCTATTCAAGAATTAAAGTGTTCCTAAAAAATTGAGAATTATATAGTATCAATTCATTTGAAGTCTTAATATTATCATCTGTCCCCAGATTCATCTATAGACCCTGCACAATCCCAATTAAAATCCCAGAAAGCAGTTTTGTAGAAAATGCCAAGCTATTTCTTAATTTACATAGAAAAGAAAAGCCCTATAAGAACTAAAGCTTAAAAAAAAAAAAAAAAGAACAACAAATTTTGAGGACTTCCACTTCTTGATTTCAATAGCCACCTTAAAACCTACAGTAATCAAGACTGTAATATTGGTGAAAGAATAGTAGACACATTGATCAATGGAACAAAACAGAGTCCAGAAATAGACCCATGGCTATATGGTCAGTTGATATTCAACAAAGTTGCAGTGACAATTCAATGGAGAAAGTCTAATCTTTGCAATAGATAGTGCAATTGGATATCCACATGGAAATTGTAAAAAAGAACCTTGACAGCTGTCTCATACAAAATTCAAAAATTAACTCAAATGGGTAAGTATAAACTTAAAAGTATAAAACTTCTAGAAGAAAACCCAGGAGAAAATCTATGTGACCTTGAATTAGGCAAAGATTTCTTAGGAAACAAAAAGTATGAACTATAAAAATATTGGTATATTAGGCATCATCAAAATTAAAAACTTCTACTCTTCAATGACACTCTTTTACTTTAAGAAAATGAAAAGAAGAGCTACAGACTGGAAGACAGTAATTTAAAACATGTCTTGTATACAAAATATTTAAATAACTTACAACTCAATTAATAATAAATGGCCAAAAGATTGAAACAAGCACTTTATCAAAGAAGAAAAAGGAATGACAAATAAATATGCAAAACAGTGCTCAACACGATTGGCCATTAAAGAAGTACAAACCACAATCAGATACCACTCCACCTATTAAAATAACGAAAATTAAACAAATTGATAATACCAAGTGGCAAGGATAAGGAGCAAATGGAACTCTCATTCATTGTTGATAGAAATACAAAATGGTGCAGGGACTTTGGGGAATAGTTTAATAGTTATTTATAAGAAATTTTTATGAAGTTATAGATACATTTTCCATACAACCCAGCAATCTGACTTTTAGATATTTATCCAAGAGAAATGAAAACTTATGTTCATACATATGTGTCACCTAGTGGCTTTATGCATAATTGCCCCAAACTGGAATTGACCCAAATGTCTATCAAGTGATCACTGGGTAAATAAACAAAAGTATAGCCATACCATGGAATACTGCTTAGTGATAAAAAGAATGATGTACTGATAACATCCTACAGCATGGGAGAATCTCAAAGGCAGTATGTTAATGAAAGAAATTGGACTCAAAGACTGTATGCTATATGATTGCACTTATGTAACTTTCTGCCAAATACAAAACTATGGGGACAGAGATCAGTAGTCAACAGGGTCTGAGGATGAGGTTAGGGAATTGACTACAAAGGGTACGAGGGATATGAGGGAGGTTTTTCAAGTGTGAAAATATTCTATATCTTCATTACTGTGGTGGTTACACAACAAGTTTTTTTTTTTTAATTCATAAAACTAAATACCTGAAAAGGAATGTTATTTCATAGAAAGTTTACCTTAGTAAACCTGGCTAGAAAAAAAAAAAATCAAAGTGATAGGAATCATGAAATATTTTGTAAATAGAAGACTAATTCATGATAGAGATATAACTATGAAATATATTGAACTACAATATTACTACTAGATTTAAAGTATAATAGTTAAACGACTTTTGCAAGAAAAGACAGAATAACAAATGTTAAAATAGATCCAAGTATATATCACAGTTTTGCATTGTTATTATCCACATTTCTGTGGTCACCTAGGGAAATGAAAGTCTCTGTAACTTTATGAATATAAAATGGCAGTGTTGGGGTGCCTGGGTGACTGAGTCAGTTGAGTGTCCAACTCTTGATTTTGGCTCAGGTCATGATCTCATGGTCGTGGGATCAAGTCCTGTGTCAGGCTCTGCATTGACAGCACCCAGCCTGCTCGTGATTATCTCTCTCTCTCTCCCTCTGCCTCTCTCCCACTTGCTCTCTCCCTCAAAAATAATAAATAGACGTTTAAAATGGAAGTGTTTACTACTTAACTGACCGCTTACAAAATGTTATGTCCATCTGAAGACATGATCCATACTTACGTCTAGCATTCCCACTGCAACAAGGCTGGTTGTCAAAAACGTCTCATAATACAAACGGGTTGCAAAGTGAAATTGCAAAAATTTTGCAAAAAAGGCAGACTTTCATGAAATCTATGAATGTCATGTTAGAGAATTGTTTGATGCAAAGCCACTGACAATGGAGGATCTGCCTGTTAGAAGAGTTAACTTAAGAAGAGAAAATAACAAGGTTGATGATAGATCGGCTCTTCAAAAAAAAAAAATGTTTTGGGACACCTGGGTGGCTCAGTCAGTTGAGCGTCTGACTTCAGCTCAGGTCATAGTGTCATAGCTTGTGGGTTCTACCCCGTGTGGGTTCTGCGCTGACAGCTCAGAGCCTAGAGCCTGCTTTGGATTCTGTGTCTCCCTCTCTCTCTCTCTCTGCCCTCCCATGCTCACTCTGTCTCTCCCTTTCTCTCTCAAAAATAAATAAAAACATTAAAATTTCTATTAAAAAAAAGGTTTTGACTATCAAGTGGATAATAGGGACTTTGGGGCAATTATGAATCCCTTGAATTAAAAAAATAACATATTTCCATGGTTCAAAAAGCAAATTAATTTCAAAACATACATTGAAAAATCTTGTTCCATCTCATTCCCCATCCTCCCACCCTCCAGGCCATTCCCTGTCTATCTGTAAGTAACCGCTTGAATATTTCTTACATATCTTTCCCGAGTTTGTTTATACAAATATAACCAGGTATAAATATTCTTATTTTCTCCCTTTTCTACATAAAAGTTAGTGTACTATTTATACTTTTCTTTGCCTTGAATTTTATACATAACAATATATCCTAGAGTGTTGTCCTTATCAGAACATAGAGAGGCTCCCTGTTTTTTTTTTTACAGATGTGGTAGGCAAATGTGTCCACATCCTAATCTCTGAAACCTTTTACTATGTTACCTTGTACAGCAAAGGGGAATTAAGGTAGTAAATGGAATTAAGGCTGCTAATCAGCTGACCTTAAAATAGATTGTTCCAGATTATTTTATGGCCAAAGATCCTTATAAAGTAGAAGTGGGAGACAAAAGAGAAAGTTAGAATGATGTGATGTGAGATCAACTTGACTGGCCATTGTTGGCTTTGAAGGTGAGAGAAGGGGCCACAAGCCAAGGAATGTGGGAAGCCTCTAGAAGTTGGAAAATTAATAAGAAAATTTATTTTACCCCAGAGTCTCCAAAAAAAGAACAGTCTTGCCAACATCTTAGTTTTAGCCCAATGATACACAAACTTCTGACCTCCAGAACTATAAGATAATAAATGTGTTGTTTTAAACCACTAAGTTTGTGGTAATTTGCTGTAATAGCAAGAGAAAACTAAGAGTAGTCTATGTGTGGATGTTCCATAGTTTATTTAAATAGTCCCTTATGGGTGAACACAGGTTGTTTCTGATCTTTTGGAATCATGTAGATTTTCATAGTCAATAAATGATAGCTAGGACGTAAATTCAGGTCTCTTGCCTTGAAAGCCATAGGTCTTCCTAGTATATTATGTTGCCTCACATAACAATCTTACTCATTTACTTAGCATGTATTGGGCTCCTATTTTATGC